TTATCTCTTGTCTGAGTTCTGGTTTGGATTGGCCTGGTCTCTGTTTTAGATGAAACTAATGTTTTGTTCTCACGGCTTTTCCTTGTGAGGATTTGGGTTGGATTATTTTAGGATATGCTGGTATGAATTATAGATTATCCTCTTGTCCAAGTCTTTGTAGGAATGTGTTCTTCATAAGGCTTACTGTGTTAGGCTTTCAGCTTTGGCTAGACTCTATCTGGATTGGGCTAAAAGGGGATTGGTGATTAAACTTCATGCTAGGATGGACTGAGATGGTCTGTGGATTGAGCTGAGCTGAGTTGTGAGCCAGATTAAACAGAATCTGTCTTTGGGCTGACATTGACTTACACACGAAATTGGCTCATTTTTTCCAGGGCTCTGAATTGATCAGAGTTGAGTTGGGGCTGTGTTAAGTGGGTTTTATCTCTGCATTTGGGTGCCTGTTAACAGGGTTTTGGGGAGGTTTTTAGAATACCCTAAATTGAAACAAAGAATGGGCTGGGCTCTGGATAGGGTTATTAATAAGATGTTGGGTTCAACCAGGCTTTGATTGCTTCTGGGCCAAAGTTGTGAATGGCCTGGCCTGTTGAATGCCATCAGAGCATCTTGCTCTAAACTATGGTTCTGCCCCTGGACTTAAAGTTATTACTAATATCTCTGCCAAAAGCCATTATTGATCTGATTCACATTCTTAGAAACTCTGTTGTTCCAGATGGTAAGTTGTTTCTGGGAATGCTCTTTTTACTTCTTGCAAATGGTGGTTATATGGAGGACAAGCATGAAGGAAATCTCTTAACAATAAAAATAGACTATTTTTTACTAAATGATGATTTGTCTTAGGAGACTATGGGATACCACCATGCCCGAAGGATCAGTGGGATCTCCAAGAACCTGGCAAACACTGGGCCTGTTTGATTGACACAAAATTTGGTGGAGAGTGTCAGATATATCCATATTGGATGAGTATTTCTATATAAAAATTTTCCCAAGTTTTCTTGGATATCAGTGTTATCTGGAGAATTTTTCCAAAACTTTGCCAAAAACCCAAATAGTGTTTCAGTGCCCAATGAGATTCTTGGAAGAATAGATGGTTAATGTTATCAGGACAGTAAACTTTTTTTTGACAACTTGACAAAAGGGACTCAGTCACATGTGTTGGGGGGGGCAAGTAAGGGAGAGTGAGTCACTGGCAGCTGGTAGACAGGCAGGTGAGGTAGAAGAGTAATTAGGGTGCAGGAGTAAAGTTTTAAGACAATCAGTCTAGTAGGACAAATTCCCCAATCTTTTGTAAAGCAGGGAACTTCAAATTCTTGACATCTTTAGATATCTTGGGATCCTTCCTTACAGCATATAAAACATGCACAAATTACCCCCTTATCCCTCTCTCTTCTTCAAAGAAAAGCTCCCCTCCCCAGTAACCTAATGCAGTCTAACATCCCCTTGTACTACTCCACTGTGATGCTCCATGGTAACACAGTGACACTTGTGTCATACCAATGGGGTGTTCTCAGGGCTCATCCTCTTCACTTCCACAGCATGTGGCACTCTTGATTGCTTCTTCCCTGCCTTGATTCCAGGTTACCATTCAAACATTTCCACATGTGTATTTAATTTGCTTGTGCTTCTCCAATCCCAGAAGTATCTGTCCATAGCCCCAACATCACCATTTATATTGTTCTTCCACTGACTTGAGTTTGAGAGGCAGAGAAGTTTCTTCCCAAACTAATATATCTATGTCTATGGACCTTGGGAAGTCCAAATAATCTCCGCTAGATCACTGAGGTCCTTGGAAGGATTAGGAGCCTGGACACCCTCAGTCCAATCAGAGCATTGAGTCATCCCTTGAGAAGATGGTAACATTTGAACAGGGAGATTTTGGTACATGGATATTTCTGAGCTGTAAAATAACCTGGGAAATGCAAGCGGGAACCCATTGAAGACTGTTCTTCAGTCCTCTCCACCCTCAAGTGACTGATCCACCTCTCCTTTTTCCCTACATGCATTAATTAATTATTATGAGGCTGCTATATTTCAACAGCTAAAGAAAAATGTTTCCAGTTCAAAGAACCTGATAATATCTCCTTTTGCAGACCTGCTGAACCACCATGTTAAGATCACATCAGGGGCTTCATATACCCCTGTTATAAACTCTGGATGCCATTTTTTAAAAAATTCAAACTTCCTTCAGAATAACCATATCTCCATAGCTCAATCTCAAGTTCACTTCACGGACATGTTTGGAGCATATCTTCTCATAGTGAGTAAGACTGGCACAAAAGCCTCTAATCAGAAGAAGTGCATGGAATGGATTTCTCTGAGCTACAGGAAGAGGGGGTTGGAGCCAATTTAGAGCTACAGAATGGCCAGCTTGTATTAATATATCTCTTTCTAGAATTTGGAGGCAGCTGGGATATTCAAATATCTGAATCCCTCCAATTGCCCCTCTGTCCTCTAAAGCATCATCTTTGTCCCAGGGCACCTCTTCCACTCTCTCCTCTTCTTCATAAATTTGTTTCACATTGAATTTCCTTCCCCCTCTGGGAGCTGTGCTCTGACCTCTCTTTAATAATGATGTCTCTACGGGGATGTAAAGTCCAGCATAGGAAATATAGTCAATAATGTTGTAACAAGTATATATGGTGCCAAGTGAATAGTTGAATTATCTGGGGGACCACTTTGTAAATTATGTAAGTGTCTAATCACTACACTATAAGTAATATAAAATAATACCAAGTGCCAACTGTAACTGAAAAAAAAACGTTTAAAAAATAAAAAACTAATAATTTTTCCTCCCACTTTGAAGGGCTCTATCGGGACACTTCTGATTTCCTTCCACACTAACTTCCTAAATGACTTTATTTGCAAAGCTCTGAGACATTTCTCTGTCACTCAAACTCAAAAAGACCTAAGGGGTCTCTAGGGAATGAGGATGAGAGAAGGCATTCTTAATGCCTCCCTGACTCCTCCTGTTCCCCAGATCCCCTTCTACATTCAAGCCCATTCCTATTTCTTGCCAATCCTGTCACTCACAAATATTCTCTCCATTATATTTTCCAATTTCACATTCCTTCCCTTTAAAATTCCCCCTGGTTTTTCTGTTTTCATTTACCCATTTAATTTCTATAGATCTTCCCAACTTCTTTCTGATCATATAACTGCAAAGGGACCAGGATGGATTTTCAACATTTTGGAGATGAAGAAGGTAAGGAAGAGAAAGACTTGGGCAGGTTAGAATATTTTAATTTCTCCCTAATTTCTTTTTTTTTTAGAGCAGTAGTTCCAAAGTATGAATGTCAATAGGGGTTACTTGAAAAGAACAGTTTCATGATCAAGTAAGTCTGACATATACAACCAGGCATTTTTTTTTCTTAAAAAAATTCTCAAAGCTTCAACATAATAATAAGTATTTACTCACTGGCTGTTAATACATAGTAAATTACTCCCCAAATTAGAGGCTTAAAACACTAATAAACATTTATTATCTCATAATTTCTGTGGTTCAGGAAGCTGAGAATGGCTTAGCTGAGTGGTTCGGGCTTGGGTTTCTCCTGAGGCTGCTGCAGTCAGGATGTTGGCCAGGGCTGCAGTCATCTGAAGGCTTGCCTGGGGCTGCAGAATTCGCTTCCAAGGCTAATTGTTCACGTGGCTGGCAAATTGATGCTGGCTGTCAGCAGGGGATATCAGTTTCTTGCTCCAGGGACTTTCTCCAAAGGGCTACTTGGGTGACCTCATGACACGGCAGTGGACCTCCTAGAGCAAGCAATCCAAGAAAGCAAGGAGGGAACCACAATACATTTTATGACCTAACCTCAGAAGTCACACACCTTCATTTCTGCCATACATTATAAATTACACACAGATCAATCTTATGCAGTGTGTGAGAATATCAGGCAATAAGAGATATTAAAAATAGTTTTGGAGGAAGGCTAGTGCAATGCATTGTGAATCTCCAAAATTTATTTGACAACAAAATTATTGTTTAATGGATTATTCCAAGACAGTGGGATTTTGTCATAGACAAAGTGGGGAAAACCACCATGAATGGTCATATTAGGGAGTGAGGATCTTAGAGGGTCGCAGTGGAAGGGAAGATGTGGATCTGGAGAAATAATCCTGGAAAATGGAGCCTGACTATGTCTTGAGGACTCCCAGAGTGAAAGACATACACAGCTAAAACTGAGTTCCCACCTGCAGCTGGGGCTCATAGGCAACTCTGAAGAGGATCCCTCACTTTAGAAAGCCTAGCAAAAGACTTCCCTGCCCATCCCAAACTGTTTGAAAGGTCCATATTCTTGTAAGCTGTTTATTCCTCTGTCCTACATCGAAGATAGGGTGAAAAAAGTCAAAATTCACAGGCTGAAAAGAGCTACGAGGCTACCACAGAATCTCTAAAATCTGGAGATGGAGATAATGTAAAATGCTCAGTCTTTCCATGAGGAAGGGAGCAGGCTTCTCTGCGGAACTCTTCATGCTGTTCTCAGCCACATGGCTGGACCCCAGCAGTCTCTTTTATGATCTGCGCTAAGAGTACAGAAAAGTCACTTGGATGATTCAGATCTCAAAGGCCCTGTTCTTTTCTGCTTAATTTGCAACACTGGCTTGTTTGAAAAGGTCCCAGTCTGGGGTAGGTGCCACCTTGATTGGAAGAAGTAAGTTCTCGTCAAATGTTCACAGTGAACCTATCAGCAGATGTACGTACGATAGAAGAGGAAAGGACAGAGATAAAGAGGCTGGAGCATGAGGAAGAATTAAAATAAGGAAGAAGTAATGGGTGGGGAGGGGGCACAGGGGAGGATAGGTGCGTGAGAAAAAGAAGAAAACCCCTCACCGTCCTACTCCCGCCAACGTCGAAGAGCGCTTTCGTCGTCTTGCGCCACAAGGTGGCACCCTTTGGACTTTCTTCCCCTATCAAAATAAGAAACGGGGTAGAGAGGAGGGAGAAAAAGGCAAAGCACTCCCCCAACCAAGAACAATTTGAAAACCCACCCCATAATATTTAAAACCTGGGACAAAGAACAGTCTGGGCGGAACTGCTTCAGTTGCGAAACCTCAGCGCAGCCTCGGGAGCTGCAGGCGGGCCCGAGTCAAAAGCAGCTCTTTTTTGAAAAGCGGAGTACAGTATTGGGATTCTTGAAACCTGAAACCTAGAAACAGAATCGAAGCGGAAACCAGAAGGAAAACCCTGAACTCCTCCAGACAATTGCTTCCGGGGAGTTTTAGGAGAGTGAGGGGGGATAAAGGGCCTGAGAGGAGGGCCCCACGGATGGCGCGTCCCTGAGGGTCCTGGCGACTTCGAGGAGCGTGGGAAGGAGAGGACCCTACTCTCACCCTGGGCTGCAGGTCATGGCCACCGTGGAGCCGAAAGCCCTCGGCATTGGCTTCAAGTGTCTCTCTTTAGCCACTTTTGTGCTCATCTGTGCCGGGCATGGGGGACGCAGGGAGGAAGGGGATCCAGCCTGCTACGGGGGATTTGACCTGTACTTCATTTTGGACAAGTAAGTGCCATAAGTTGTCACGCACTAGGTTGAGCTGATGATGCTTTCTCCCCAGGCTGGGCTTGTTGGCAGGGTGGCTTTGGGACAGGCTCGTCTGTCCAGAGATCCAGCCGCGGCCCCAGCGCTGCGCCTTTGTCAGGGGAGCGCGCCACCCATCCTCTGCTGCCGGAGCCCGCAGGGGAGGCGTCCCTCCTTGTTCCGGAGACACACTGCTTTTCTGCATTGCTTTCCGTGACTGAGGAGCGTGCAAGGGAGTGGGAGGATGCTGTTGACCTACTAGGTTTCTGTGAAGCCAAATGAGAATTTGCTGTAGAAACCTTAGTAAGAAAAACTTGCTTAGGAGAGGCAGAACTTTGAGCACGTCTAAAGTAAGAGGTGTGGGCTGTTTAAAGTCTGTCGGCTCCTTTTAAATAACTGTCCAATTTAATGTATTACCTTTGTTCCGAATAATATAATACATGCTGACTGGGCAGTTGGTGGAAAACTAGGTGAATTTCTCAGTCTCCGCATTATGGAGATTTAGGCTGGGGAGTATTTTGTTGTGGGGCCAACCTGTGCATTGTGGGGTGTTTAGCAGCATCCCTAGGCTCCAACCCACAGCCGCCAAGTAGAGATGCCAGAACCACCCCTCCTCCATCCTCCCTCGTCCCTCCTCCTTCCTCCGCCCCCAGTCCCAAAGTGGGAAACAACCAGAAATGTCTGCAGACTTTGCCAAAAGTCCTTTCGTGTAAAAAGCAGTCCCCGGGCTTGAGAACCCCTGATGCAGGCGAATTCAAGGTCTTGGTGATTTGACTGGTAGGCTACCAGGGAGGTGCAGGAGCCCTGGTTTCCTTACGAATATGGGTAGTGTTTAGACTTCGAGAGTGTGCTCAAGGGAGAGCTGAATCTGACCCATTAAACTTCCCAAATCCCCTTAGATTTGCCAAGCCGCAGCCATTCAAGGAATCTCCATACTATCTACCAAAAAACAACTTCAACAATAAAAAGCCCCTCAGACAAGATGCATGCTCCTTGAAATTGTGTGAGCTCCCCAGCGCCAGGAGAGGCGCTTGCTGGTACAGTGGAGGAGAGATGAATTTCACAGACTGGAAAGTATTTGAGAATTGGAAAAAGGAGTCCTGCAAAATAAGCTGGCCAGCTAGAAACCAAATGTGCTTTGCAGTTGCCCCTAGAGTTTGATTTTTCCGTAAAGGCTGTTTTGAACTCCAGATTCTTTGGATGAAAAGTGAGATCTTTCTTGCAGATTTATGAGAAGGTGGATACTGAAAATATACTCCAATGCTAAGAAATGGAATTTCTTTTGTTACTTCTAGCTACTGGAGCACTAGCTCACAGATGAAGAGACTGTATTGAAAATAGTCAGAGATGTATATCATTGTGCTTAAAAAAATTTTTTAAAGCTGGTTCAGAAGGATATACAAGAAACCTTGAAATAATGGACAGAATCACCATGTCCCTGAATGGCGTGACTCCACTCCATACGTCACAGATGATTGATTCTCCCCAAACCAGTTTCTAAGTTGAATTCAACTTTTCAATCAAAGTTCTGAAAGAATTTATTTTGGGGCTGAATTTAACAGATGTTTCTAGGTTTATCTTGGAGGGGGAAAAACAGGCAAAAGGAGTTAAAACATTTTTGGAAAAGAATAATAAAGAAATACTTAAACATCTCCCAACATTAGAATGTATTATAAAGGAAATTAATTTTAAAAACAGGATGGTAAAAGCCAAAGAATAGAGTAGAAAATCAAGAAATAGCTCCAAGGATATGTAAACTTCTAGTGGAAGTTCAAGTCAGTGGGGAATTAATTTCTTGTTTTAAAAAAGTGATTCTTGGACAAATGGTTGATAACATGGGAAAAGAAAAGGGTTTATTTATACTTTACACCACACACCAAAATGAATTCCAGGATTGAAAATTTAAATGCTTAAAATGAAATGGTGAAAGAACTAGAAGAAATTTTAGATGAATACTACTGTAATCTTAGTTTTGGAGCTTTTAAAACAGAGCAGAAACAATAGAGGAAACTACAAAAAGATTGAAATATATTAAAATTTTAAATTTCTGTAAGTTACAAAAATTTTTGCAATGCACATTACTCTTTAAATATATATAAAAAGTAGTTTTTTAAATATCATCGCAGTAGGAAATAGGCTTACTATATAAATAATTTACAAAAAAATGTATCACAGTCAAATGAATTTAAAGTTCAACTTTACCAGTAAAGAAATGAAAAATCAAGATGCAATTTGTATTAAGCTGGCAAAGATTTTTAACCAATAGCAATATTTAGTATTGGCAAATTTGTAAGAGGTAGGCACAGTCATATTTTACCAGGGAAAATATAAACTCAGGCAGTCTTTCTGGACTTGTGCTGTGAAATAGAACTTTCTCTGATGCTCAAAATGTTCTTTATCTGTGCTGTCTGTATGGTAGCTACTAACCATCTGAGGCTCTTGAGCACTTGAAATGTAATTAGTGTGATCAAGGAGGTAAACTTTTTAAGTTTAATTAACTTAAATTTAAATAGCCATAGATGGTTACTGTAATGGATAGCATAGACAATAACATAATTTAGTAACATGTATCAAATACTTTTTAAAAATGGGTTTCTACTTTTCCACCATACAATTCTATGTGCTAAAGAAAAAATCCAAGATAGTCACATAGAAGTGCCTGTGTGTATGTTCACAGCAGTGCCATTTATAAATGAGGCTGAAAATTAACTAAAGGTCCAACAGCAGGGGATGTATTAAGTAAGGCATGATAAGTACCTAGTATTAAATATGCATACTATTATGTTTGTGAGATATTTTAAGAAAAATATTTAATGCTCATAATATACCCTTAGGTGGAAATATACTTACCAAACATTATATACATTAGGTTTCTACCTTTGAAAAAAGCTAAACAAACACATATATGTATCTACTCAATATGTGATAGTATTTCTCTCTAGATTTTTGAATTCTGTTTTATGTTTTTCTGAATTTTAAAAATTTTCTACAGTGAACATGTTACTTTTATATTCAGCAAAGATAAATTACTTTGAATGTTTAAAAAATCGTTTCAAGTATGAGGACGATTCTAACTAGCACACTGAGCCTTTCACCATTATAGAGGATGCTGCTTTTTTTATATTTAATCCTGGAGTAAATTTCTCAACGTGCCATAGGATCCTTTGCAGTACATCATGGACCCAAAAGTGCTTCGAGAAACAAATGGTGGGGGGACATTGATGGGCACTTACTTTACATTTCTGTGGACTCCTCTGGACTTTACATTTCTGTGGACTCCTCTGGCTTCCTTTAGTTGTCCCATTGCTTGAAGAGAGAGCTACTTTTGTGCTGAATGAAAGACTTGCTAGAACTTGCTAGGACAGCATGTATAACCCCAGCTTGCCATCTCAAATGGGATTGTGAAGCCCAGGGCTGAGGAAGAGGCCAAAAGGTAGTGATAGCTAACAGGCCCCTGGGTGGGCCCTAAGGACACTGTCTTCTGTCATAGAAAGAACCAGTGCTGTCCAGCACCTGACCACTGAAAAGAGAAAGAATGCTGACTCGTTTTCCCCTTGGGCTTCTAAGATCCTCTGGCCAGCACGACACTGTCCACAGGCTGAAACCAGTGGATCACAGGGCACTGAATTCACCGTTCTTCCCACCCCTCAAAGCTCTTTTCCCCCCAGTGGATGGTCTCTTCTTTTCCATGGCATTGAATCTCAGCTCATTTCAGCTTTAAGCAGAATGCATCTCTAGCCTGGAGGGAACCCAGATTATACATTTAATGGAACATCATGTTTTCTCAACCAGGAGCAGAAGACTTCATAATGACAACCTAGACTACCACAGTAACACAATAGGGCCTTATTAGCGGCTTTGGCGATGGAGTTGGTGGACTGAGCTTCACAGGGCTTTATACTGATGGAATTTCATGTTCATTTAAACATGCTTTTCTGGTTACAGTCAGGAAAAGTAGATTGCTGGAAATTCAATCAGGGATTTAAAAAGTCAGATTTGAAAGGCCTTTATTTAGAGAAAAACAGGCAAGGAGCCTCCTTTAAGTCTTCCAGGGGGTCCTCAAAGATTAACGCATTCAGTTGACCAGCCCATGGACAGGTGTGTACCTTTCCTCTCTCTCACAGGACTCTCCTGCTACTACTGTGTATTTGTGTATCATATATTGGTCTATTTTATAGAAAGCCCTTAGTCATTTAAGTGGAAAAATGGGATTCTCCATCATGAATCTCAGAGAAGTGCTAGCTGTATTCATGTGTGCCCTAAGGACTTCAGAGATGGAATGGTGGCAGAGAGAGCAGGAGGACAGGAGGAGACAGTGAGCTGGAAGGTGATAGTAAGCCCTGAGTAGCTTTATTTATAAGACTTGCCAGAGCCACAGCATATCACCCATTAAATCCCTACATTTGTAAAGGCCCCCCACGGGCTTACCCTATGTTCCTCCTTCCCCATGGAGCCTCCGTACCCCTCCCTCTGACACTTCTTTTTTGTCCAGCACCCATTTTCTCTTTACCCTGTACAAAGGGACCTTGCCTTGCCACTCAGAGTTCCAACCACAGGGCCCACAAGTGGGTGATCCTGTGGAGGTAATGATCACTGCTATGTGCCATAGTTCAGAAACATGGTCTTTAAACAGATCTTTATAGCATTAGGCTGGGAACCTCACTACCAGGTGTAGTACTGTTTTTCTGGGGAAATGTCTTTGGATTCCCAGCTACTAACTTACAAAAGAAATCTTTAGAATCAGAGCTAAAGTCTCCCAACACTATGCCATCTCACAGGTGTGCCAAAGACAACCTTGCTTAGTAGCTAGGACAAGCACTGCTGTCTCTAATTTACAGATGGTCAACCTTTATCAACCCACTGATGAAGTGACCTACCCAAGGGCCGAAGATTAGATCATGACAGATCAGGGACCATGTCTGCTCCTGACTCCCAGCTCAGCTTTTTCCACTCATCACTGCCCTTGTACAGTTGGATCATAA